TATCCTTGTCAAAGCTCAGTCAAGATCAGCTGACAGCCACCAAACCAGACTGCTAAGCTCAGTAAATGATCAGTTTTAAGCCCGAGTTGTCTTGTTTTTGTTCTGGCAGTACTGGTGTTCAAACTTAGGGCTCTGCACTTGCTAGGCAAGCACTCTACCACTTGAGCCACGTTCCCAGCGCTTTTTGCTTTAGTTATTTTTTAAAATAAGGTCTTGTACTTTTGCCCAGAGCCAGCCTTGGATCTTGATCTTTCTACCTGTGTCTTACATAGCTGGGATTATAGGCGCATGCCACCATGACTAGCCCAGCCCCTCTGGGCTTTGAGGTTATTTGTCATCCAGTATTTCCAGGGTGAGGCAACTGACTGACACAGCCACTTACTCGATGGCCTTTTGACACCAGAGTACAGACTGCTATCTGACCAAGGGAGGGCCAGGGTTAGGAGAAGGAACCGAAAAAGAACTACAGCAACACGAGCTAGTGCTGTGATGGTCTGACCATTCTCAAGCAGCAAGCCTAACTAACATACCAGTGCTCAGTACCAACCCATTATTTTCCCAAAGGCTGTTAGCAATTGTGTCACAATATGGCACAAAGACATGTCAGCCATACTTACATTTCTTTGGTCTGACTTCCTGGTCTCTCGTCTTCCTAAGAGAAGCAATACAAGACCGGTTAGTTTTTTTCCATTTGGTCTTGTTCCTATTTAACTGTTTTATGGAAATAACACTGAAAATTATCCTATCGCCTAATTGGTATACAATCTACCTTCAAGAATTTTTTTTCTTTTAGAGGACGAGTAAACAGGAAGTTAAGGAAATTCTTAGAAAATAGATCCTACAACACTGCAGTCTAAGATGGGACCAATGGCAGGTGCCTGTCATCCCAGCTACTTAGAAGGCTGAGGCAGGAGGATTACTAGACCAGCCTAGAAGCACAGTGAGACTCCATCTCAGAAAACAAAGCACTGTGATTTAAATGTTTTTAACTGCAGAATTCCTCTGTTGTCCGTTATCAAGTGTTGATAACCTCAAAGGAAATAATTTTTGCCAGGCACCAGTGGCTCAAGCCTGTAATCCTAGCTACTCGGGAGGCAGAGTCGTGAGGACGTGGTTTGTAGCCAGCCTCAGCAAATAGCTCCTAAGATCCTATCTCAAAAAAAACAAAACCAAAACCAAAAAAAACTTCACAGAAAAGGGCTGGTGGAATGGCTCAAGGTGTAGGCCCTGAGTTCAAGCCTCAGTACCACCACCAAAAAAAAAAAAAAAAGGAACTTGATAACTTGATGCACATAAATTTGGAGATGCCACAATAAGCTGGCATGGTGGTACAAGCCTGTAATCCCAGCTACTCAGAAGACAGAGGGAGCAAGATCAAGAGTGTGAAGGTGATCTGGACAAATTTAGCAAGACCCTTGTCTCAAAAGCAAAATATAAGCAAAAGGACTGGGGGCATGGTTCAATGGTAGAGTGCTTGCCTAGCATGTATGGCACCCTGGGTTCAACACTCAATAGCATGAAAAAAAAGAAAGACCACAAAAGCTGGGGATATTAGAACAGTTGCAGGCCTCTACAGCATAAGGAGCTGCTGGAGTGGTAGCCCTGGCTGGGATTTCTATCTCACTCCTTCTGAGGGTAGGGGCCCCACTAGCACCAGGGGCTGCATGCTCTCCTGTGACTGCCAGATGTACATGAACTAACTGCTATCTAACCGGAGCTGGGGTTGGACAGATGAACTGTTGAAGACCAGCTTCAGGTACCAGATGGTTCTGGAATTGTGGACCATCTCATCAGATCCCCACAAAGGTAAAACAACAGACTTCCAAGTCTAACTGGATCCAGAGGCAAGTGTTCACTACCCGTATGAGTTTGGTTTTTGAGACAGGGCCTTGCTATGGAGCTCCAACTCAGTCTTCCAGCTTCAGCCTACCAAAAGCTGGGATTATAGGTGAGCCCCACCATGCCCAGCCTAATCAACATCTTAATGCCCAACAAAACCAAATGAGACCCAGCATCTATGCTGCATAGAACCTTCTACTCCCTGACTTCAGAGGAGCTGGAGGTCCAGGGCAGAGCTATTCCAATCTGTGATAAGAAGGCAACATTAGTTTGGGTTTTTTTTTTCCCTTCTCCATGGTGCTGGCAGTGGAAACCAGGGCCTTGCACATGCTAGGCAAGGGTTCTATCACTGAGTCACACTCCCAGCCCAAGAAAGCAACCTAGTATTTGGACGCTGCTGTGGAATTTGAGCACGCCCCCACCATGTCTGGAAATTGAAGTGTCATGAAGACCTCATCTGCAAGAAAGAGGCAGGTGGACAGGTGAGGGGAAAGACTAAAGTTCTGTGGCTAAGGGGCAAAGGTCCAGCCGACACCAGGGCTGCAGCTGAGGCCTTACTATAACCACACAACCTTATAACCTACCCTCCATGGAGAGGACCACCAGGAAAGTGAACTTGAAAAGTAGTTTAGCCCAAGTCAGGGCCAAGTCCATCACTTCTGAATGTCAATTGTGTTCCTACGCATTCCCCACCCCTGCCCTCATTCCTGGCACCCAAGGGGACTCAAGAAGATTAGGGTGGGATTGATGAACAGAGAGGTAGCAAGGCTTTACGTTCTCGTCTCTCTCCTCCTCCTGAGCGGTGTGAATTCCTGGTGTTACTCTCTCTGGTTCTGCTTCAGGATGTCCAGCAACTCTAAAGCAAAACAAGACACCCAGGTATGACTGAAGCCCAAAGCAGTTGCACAAAATCCATCCTCCTACCCCAGAAGAAATCATTATGCCAGAACCCGAGGGCATTTTTTCATTTAATGTTTACCATGGAACGAGATCTTTGCATTCACCTGTGATCTAGTTCATTCCCGCCTATCCAAATCTATTCATTCTATTCTATCTGAGTCAAAAGGGTAGTTATCTGACCCTAAGTTCAGCATCCTGAACAGGTCTGTTTGCCAGGGAAAGTCATTATAAAGCTCTTCTTTTTAAACCTTCCGAAGGCTGAGTGCAGTGGCTCATGCTTGTAATCTCAGCTATTCAGGAGGCAGAGAGAGGGTGATTAGAGTTCAAGGCCAGACAAAAAGTTAGCAAGACCCTAGCTTAAACAAGCTGAGTGTGAGTGTGGAGGCATGCCTCTAATCCCAGCTACAGGAGACATAGGTAGGAAGATGATGGTATGTGACCAGGCCCGTGAAAAATGTGAGATTTTATGTGAAAATGAAAAGGAAGGGGTTGGAGATTTAGCTCAGTGGAAGAGCGCTTGCCTGTCAAGTGTAAGGCCCTGAGTTCGGTCCCCAGCACCGGAAAAAAAAAAAAAAGGAAAAAAAAAAAAAACAAAATCCTTTCTCATCCAAAATGAAAAGGAAGAGCTGGTGGAATGACTCAAGAGGTAGAGCTCCTGCCTAGCAAGCAGGAGGCCCTGAGTTCAAGCCCCAGAACCACAAATAAAGCAAAAAAGGGCAAGAGGCACAGGTCAAGTGGTAAGACTGCCTACCTAGCAAACCCAAGTTCCCTCAAAAAGGAATTCCCACAATGCATAGAAGAAAAATAACTATCCTTACGGTCCTCTGGACGTGACTCTACGCCTCTTCTCCTGCACACAGGGAAGGGAGGGAAAACAAAGAACATTGGTTTGAAAGCAAGTTCACTGCCAAAAGCATGAGTCAAACTACTCAGCAAGCACACATGATGTGGTTAAGACGGGGAGGGGAAAGAGGGGGGCCTGGGTTTGTGGAGAAGATCTGGGAGACTGGCTTAAATGTCCACAGTCCACACGGCAGAGGCAAGGCTAGAAGGGACCCAGCACGTGCCAGCTCACCGGAGATCAGGCTGTGAGGCCCAGGGAGGGTCAGACTCCCCTCACCCCAGGAACTCTAGGTCCTGGGAGAACCGAGTAGTCTCTGGGGTTCCCATGTAGGAGGGACCACCCAACAGGGAGGACACTCGTGCTTTTCTCAGGTGGACACCCTGGGCACTGTTTCCTGAGATCACATGGTTTTCCATCTCTGGGAGACTGGTTGTCTTTTTATAACTCAAAAAAAAAAAAAAAATACACTGTGCAGATGAGGCTGGGAAATAGTTCAGTGGCACCAAAAAATACAGAGTCCTTTGTTGGAGGTGGAGGTTAGCCAAGTCTGCTCACCTGAGGGCTGGGCTATACTACAATGAAAGACCACTTGCCTGGCAGGTGCAAGGCCCTGGATTCTGTCCCTAGCACTACAGATAAACTCTACATGCATGCCTGTGACAAAACTGCATAGAATAAATGCACAGGCATGTGAAAAACCAGTGCCGTCTGAACACTCTATGGCTGCACCAACATCAAGGTCCTGGTCCTTTATACTGTAACAGGTTACCACAGTGGGCTGAGTGCAGTGGCTTCTGCAATCCCAGCTACAGAGAGGCAGAGATCAAAATTCGAGGCCAGCCCAGGCAAAAAGTTAACGGACCCCATCTTGACAAATAAGCCAAGCATATTATGAACACCTGTAATCCCAGCTACACTGGAGATGGAGATTAAGATAGCAGTCTAAGGCCAGCCAGAACAAAAAGGGAGACTCTCCAAAATATAACTAAAGCAAAACAGTGGAATGGCTCAAGTGGTAGAGCACCTGCCTAGCAAGCAGGAGGTCCTCAATTTAAACCCCAATACTGGAAAAAAAAAAAAAAGATAACAATGAGACAGTTCTAAATCAGCAGTGCCAGCCCCACCTGGTCTCGATCTTCCTCTTCAGCAGACTCTTCTGATTTTGCCCTTTCAGATTCTTCCTCAGGTTTCCGTTTAGCAGGGCTGTCACACAGGGAAGTGACTGTTAGTTCCAAGACCCCAGCGTTCCAGTGGACCTCCATGACTTCCACTACTCCTTTGCAAAACGATCCCTTCAAGCCCAGCGCAGAGCCTGGACATCTTCCCCCCAGGAGGGCCCTCATTACCAGGATGCTGAAAGACACTGATGCTTAGTGTTTCTTTGAAATGACAAGCTTAGGAAAAAAAAAAAAAAAAAAAAAAAAAAAGATCACCATTTTGCAAGCCCTTAAGAAATCATGGATCTAGACGTGGAATGATGGCTACCAACGTCACAAAGAAGTGAGACATTACACACCCCTGAAGCTGACCTCAGAAAGTAAGATGGAACTGGAGGTGTGGCTCAGTGCTAGAGCACTTGCCTAGCACGAAAGACCCTGGGCTCCATCCCCAGTAGCGCATGCACACACGCAGTTTGCAAAAGGCATAAAAAACAGTTTTTCATGTTTTCAGGCATAGAATGGTGTGCCTTAGATTTTTTTCAAAGTCATCCAGTTGGAACAAAAAGTAGGTACAAGTTAGTAACCACAGGGGCTGGGTGACGAGTCTGTGGGGGTTTGTTAAGCTATACTCTAACTTGGGGTATACTGAAAGTTTCCTGTTAAGAGTAAAACAATGAGGTCTTCCAAAGTGTCGTTTATAAATGTCTAGCTAACAAAAACTGCAAGAAGAAAACACACGCAGGACTGGGGTACAGCTCAGAGGTAGAGCATTTGCCTAGCACGCACCAGGCCTGGGTTCCATTCCCAACACTGAAGGAAAGAAAAAGTACGGGTGGGAAGGGAGAGAGAAAAACCTATGCAATATGGAAGTTATGGGTGCTAAATGACACCCCACCAATTCCAAATTACCAGAAACACCAGGCCCTGACAACTGGGCCTTCCTTATGTACTGACCCCTTGGCAAAATGAGCCGTGATGGTGGTCTGCCGGGTAGCTCTCCTTGTAACCATGGAGCTAGAGGATGCTTCAGCTATTTAAAGAAGAAACAAAAACAAAGACAGAACAAGAAGAAGCCACCATGAACAGACAAGTCTACAACCATGGAAGCCTTCTTCAAGACCACACTGTTACAGAAAGCCAGGTACTGAGGACTAAACAGACTAAGTTTTGCTTTGCTTTTTGGAGACAGGGTCTCAGTGCACATCCCAGGCTGGCTTCAAACTTGTGATCCTCCTTGCCTCTGCCTCCCAAGCACTGGGATGATAGGTCTGCGCCACCACACCCGGCTGGTGCACCCTTTGGTTTTTATTCTAGTCAACAATCAGTTGCTTATGTCAGCAATTAACACCTGCTAATTGTGGCTGACTGGGTGCTGCCACTGCCTAGTATGTGAAGAATATCATACAGCTCAGAAAAAGACCAAAAGTTAATGCTGGGCACTGGTGTTTCATGCCTATAATCCTAGCTACTTAGGAGGCACTCATCAGGAGGACTGTGGTTTGAGGCCAGCCCTGGGCAAATAATTCATAAGACCCTATCTTGAAAAAAAAAAAAAAATCATAAAAAAGGGCTGGTGGAGTGGCTCAGGGTGTAGCCCTGAGTGTTCAAGCCCTAGTACCGCAAAAAAAAAAAGGTTAAGACTCCAACCAAGTGAAGTGAATGTGTGTTACTTGCACACCACTGTATAGTTCAAAACTCCTATACTGAGCCACTGTAACTCACAGAGTGCCTACACAAGTTAAGCTAGTTAGGAAGCGTACATGAGAAATGAACTGGAGGGCCAGGAGGTGTAGCTCTGAGGTAGAGCGTGTGCTTTGCACCCACCAGGCTCAACCCAGCACCAGAAACCAGAAGACACTGCCCTGGGGTGCAGACGGGTCAAAGTCTGTCCCCTCCCGCATACCACGGCCTCCATTAAGGTTGAAAACAGGTCAAGTGCCCTTACACGTGGTCTCACCATCAGACTTGCTTCTTCTGGGTGCCCGAGGTTTGGGGCCGGGTTTCGGGGGGGTGTCTGGCTCTGACATTCCCACTCTCCGGCCTTTCCCGTTTTCTAGATAGCCGTTTGCTTCTCGATTGAGGGTGTGGGCTCCGTTCTCCAAGGAGAAATCTTTATTTAAAAGGGATTTGACTTTAGCCAGGTAGCCCTCCTACAGCAGGAAAGGATAATTCAGCAGTGAATGTAAACGAGTGGCAGGAAGAGAACAAGGAAACACATGCGCTTCCTTTAAATCAGCAGGCAGCGTGGACAGCAGGGACTGTTCTGCCTCCCGGCTCACAGCCGAGTCACGGGGAGGAGGGGTTTTGGGGGCCAAGAGCCGGAGAGCAGACTTACCTCAGATAATTCTTCTTTGCGCAATTTGGTTTCCAAGTCACTTAACTGAGCCTTTATTTCTGTTTGCAGAAATTCATGCAAGAGATTCAGCTTCTCCTTCACGCGCTCCTAAGGGAGGGATATAGGTTTAACAGTCCCCACGCTTGCAAGCCATTAACAGACTAACACATGATTTGTTCACTGCCTGGTCACATATCAGACTGAATGACAAAACTCAGTATAGCTGGTCCTCCACATCCACAGTTACACAAATGTACTCAAGCAACCTCTGACAGAAAGAATACTTTTTGGTGGGACTGGGGTTTGAACTCAGGGCTTTAGGCTTGCAAAGCAGGTGCTCTACCACTTAAGCAACACCTCTAGCCCGTTTTGCTTTGGTTATTTTAGAGATGGAAATAGTCTTGCAAACTATTTGCTCCAGCTGGCCTTGAACCTTGATCATACTGATCTCAGCCTCTCAAGTAGCTAGGACAACAGGTTAAGTCAGCAGTACCCGGCCAAGAAAAAAATATTAACTTTGCATTGAACATGTACAGGTTTTTTTTTTTTTGCGGCACTGGGGTTTGAACTCAGGCCCTCATGCTTGCTAGGCAGGTGCTGTACCACTTGAGTCACTTCCCAGGACTTTTTGCTTTACTTATCTTTTGGATAGTTATGTTTCAGTATACATTTTCTTTCTTGTCTTATTCCCCAAACAATACAGCAGAAATGTTTATATAGCATTTATACTATATTAGGTGTTACAAGTCATCTAGAAATTATTTAAAGTATACAGGAGAGCCGGACATGGTGGCACAAGGACCATCATCCCAGAACTCGGGAGCCAGAGGCCAGGCTGTTCATGAGTTCAAGAACATAGCCAGATTCTTTCTCAAAAAAACAAAAGTATAGAGGTGGAAACATATAGATCCTATGCAAATATTACCCCATTTTATACAAAGGGATGCCAGCATGTGTAGATTTTGGTATCTGGAGGTCGTAGAGACAATCTTCCTTGCATACTGAGGGCGACCATGATCACACTGTGTTGATATTTCCATAAACTCACTGAGCTCAAATCACAATACCAAAGTAAAAGTTTTCAAAGGGAAATTACCTTTTCTGTTAGGCCGTCTCGTTCCAAGTCTTTGAGCCTAGAGAAAGGAAATGGGGGAGAAAGAAACACTCATCAGTAACTTCATTTACCTCTAAGAATCAATACCACAGGTTAAGAATTTCGGGTAGCTGGGCAGGGTGGCACGGCTATAGTCCCAGCTACTTAGAGGAGGCCAGAGGATTGATTGAGCTCAGATTAGTAGGCAGTTTGGGCAAGACAGTGATATCCTGTCACAAAACACAAGATAACATGGTGGCTTCTTTCCACCTGTGTGCACGCGTACACACAAACACGGAGAAGTCCTTGTCACCAGGCGTGAGGGTGCACGTGTATAATCCCAGCACTCATAAGGCTAAGGCAGGAGGATGGAGAGTTCAAGACCAGCCTAGGCTACAAATTAAGACCATTTCAAAAAAAAAAACAAAAAACAGCTAGGCACCGGTGGCTCACATCTGTAATCCTAGCTACTCGGGAGGCAGAAATCAGAAGGATCTCGGTTCAAAGCCAGCCTCTGGGCAAATAGTTCAGGAAACCCTATCTCAAAAAAAAAAAAAAAAAAAAAAAAAAAAAATCACAGGAAATGGCTGATGGAGTGGCTCAAGTGGTCAGAGTGCCTGCTTAGTAAGTATGAGGCCTTGAGTTCAAACCCCAGTGCCACAAAAATAAATGTAATTATCCTCTGTGAACTTAACAACTTTGAGGTCAATTTTCTGGTAGTGAGGAATAACACAGGAGCTAAGAAAATAGACATGATTTTAAGAGGTGCCAGGAAGCCAGGCATGGTGGAACATGCCTATAAACCCAGCTACTCAAGAGGTGGAGGCAGGAGGATCTGAATTTCAAGGCCATCCTGGGCAAAGTTAATGAGTTCCTGCCTCAAAAGGTAATATAAACAAAAGGACTGGGAATGTGGGCCAAGTGGTAGAGCACCTGCCTAGTATGCACCAGAACCTGACCCTGGGTTTAATCCCCACTACAGCAAAAGATAAAGGTTTTGTTTTTTACTTATTTACTAATTCTTTTGAGGCACTGGGGTTTGAACTCGGCCTCATGCTTGGTAAGCAGGCGCTCTACCACTTGAGCTACTCCACCACCAGCAAAAGATAATCAAATGAATAAAAGCTACCAGGAAAGCGGGAACACATCACAGTCAGGGCGCTTCTGTAAGCTGGGTGACAGAAGAGCCCCAGCACATCTAGCGTTAGAATGAGTGGACCAGTGCCACGCTGCGGGAACAGCCACTCATGTTTCTAAAGGCAGAGTGGGGTGTTGGCGTTCTGCTGTGGATCTGATGAAACTGGCGGTGCGGGGGGGAGCAGCCAAGGCGTCCAGGGCAGGCAGCAGGCGGTGCTCATGCACAGGGGAGCTGGAGATGAAGCTAGAGAACTGGCTGGCTAGTCAGTTTTAGAGCACTAACTTAGCATGCATAAAGCCTAGGCTCCATCCACAGCACTGGGGTGGGGGGGACAGGAACAGTAGGCTGGGTCTTAAAGAGCTCATCCTTCAGAATGTTTGCAACTAACTGCTCAGAATCTCAGGACAGCCTTGAGTTTGGGTGGAAAATTGGTCTCGCTATTTGAGGATCAGCTTGCCTCTTTTTTCTGTGGGGGGAGGGAATAAAGGATGAAAACACCATGGAAAGAGATGTGGGGTGGCTGTGTCCCCAGTGGCAGCTGACTAGTGACAATGAGGACAGAACAGGTCTAACCAGCTGGGCAGGTATCTGTCAGTGGAGCCAGGGCACCCTGGATAGGGTGCCTCTGGACACTCAGACCCAGCAGCCGCACAGACTGGAAGCTGGGTTATCACTACCCAAATAGCACAGACAGCTCTTCCCCACTGGCCTTTGCAGAGGCCAAGCTAGCAACCCAAGTGACAGGCATTGTCAAACCCATGTCACACAGTAGTGTGCTTGCGGACCCTGCTTCAAAGCACCACTCTTATCTGTGGGCACCTACTGTATGCCAGGCCCTGTTTCAAGTCACAAGCTGGGTGACTGGATGTGAGCACCACCAGGAAGGGACCCTTAACTTGCTGGGTGGCCAGGAAAGGAGTTTGTATTAAGAAGATGTTTAGCATCCTGCAGGTGCACTGGTCATATGCATTCTATGTGCATCGCCTAGGCTGTGTCGCCTGGGCTGGAGACGCTCTGCAGAGAATACTTCAGGTAGTTAAGGGAGGCACCGTCTCAACTGTGAGTCGGGCACAGTGGTGCAAACTTGCGATCTCAGCTACATGGGCAGTGTAAATAGCAGGATGGTGGTTCAGGTTGGGCAAAAACTAGAGACCTGATCTGAAAGCTAACTAAAGCCTGGGGCAAACCTAGAATGAGGACAGCCACAGAACTGGGCACTTCCAGCCAGAAGCAGGCACCCAAGGGCAGCAGCGTTACATCTGACTTCTTGATCACATGAAGTTTTGGGAGGTTATTTTGGTTGGGGGAAGAGAGACTGGGGATGAAACCCAGGGCCTCATGCACTAAGCGCTCTACCACTGAGATACACACCCCAGCTCTCTGTCCCTCTGCAGGACCCAGGTTCCACCAGACTGCGCCTGGATCCTGAGGCTCCTCTGGTGTTAAGGACAAGACAAGGGAAGAGTACAACCCACCAAGGGGCAATTCCTTCTCAGATGCAGACACTTCCTGTGTTGGAGCAAGAAACAGATGCACAGGCCTCTCATGCACTGCTCTTTAGCCTGGCCAAGGGACACAGTTCACAGGAAGACACACTAGGTATTCAAACTGCAGGTGAGAGCCCTGGTGGTGGGGGAGGGGAGCAAGGGACAGACTGCTCAGGGAGCCTCTTGGGCCTTCACCTTGCCATTCCATCTGTCTCCTAGGGAAACTTGTCATATTACCTCCCGTCCACCTGACAGTCACCACCAGGAATATTAAAGATGGTTGAGAAAGACCAAGCAGTGAGGACTGGAGGGAAAAACCTTGGCTCTACACAGCACGGGACCCCATGACTCATTCCCACTTGTTTCCCTCACATTAGTCATCAAAGGGAGGCAAGATAAACAGACCTTAGGCAAATACAGTCAGATGTGCCCAGGCTGGAAACCCAGCTTAGGGAGGCAGAGGCAGGAGGATCACAAGTTCAAGGCCAGCCTGGGCTACATAGTGAGGTCATGTCTCAAATAAAATAAATAAAAAAATCTGAGTGTTTCCCAAGAAAAATGGCAGATACAGTGACAGGAAGGAGGGATCCCAACAGTGTGAACTGGACAGAGGGACCCAACCAAGCAGGAGCGCACCAGTGTGGAAGCTGGCTCAGGGAACACCCAGAATACCGATGCAACCACACCAGGCAGGAAAGACAGGTCACAGCAAGGAAGTGACAGAGGGGAGGTCAGGCTGACAAGTGTGAAGTGTGCTCCACAGTCAAACCTTTATCTACGGAGTCATGCTTTAGCAAAACCCATCTGCCAGAGGCACACAATCGCACTTAAGACAGGAAGACGTTACAAAATATTAAGTTATTCTAAACTCCTTTAAGCCAGAAATGCCACTCAGAATTATGGTTTGGCAAAAGGAACGGGCCCATCAAGATAAGTCCCAAAACTCTGGGAGCCTGGTTTCTTGTTTGCCTTCTTTTTTTTCTTTTTGGTGGTGTTGGGAATGGAACCCAGCACCTTGCATGTGCCAAGCATGTACTCTAACCACTGACACACACCCTCATTCTTTCTCCCTGCTTAAGAATGACAGCATGGCAGGGATAGTGGGGCTAACAGATGACATCTGTGGGAGGCAAAGTAATGTTCCCCCATAGGTCCATGACCTAAAAAAGATCTGGCAGAGTGGCTCAAGCAGTAAGACCGTCTGCCTAGCAAGCATAAGACACTGAGTCAAACTCCAGTGTTAGAAAAAAAGGTACCAACAAATAAGTAAGCCAAGCGCCAATGGCCCACACCTGTAATTCCAACTACTTGGGAGACTGAGATTAGGAAGATCATGGTTCAAGGCCAACCTGCGCAAATAGTTCAAGACACCATCTCCAAAATAACCAGAGCAAAATGGACTAGAGGTGTGACTCAAGTGATGGAGCACCTGCTTTGTAAGCGTGAAGCCCTGAGTTCAAACTCCAGTCCCACCAAAAAACAGCAGGACTAAACCAGGCTTAGTGGTACACATCCGTAAATCCCAGCACTCAGGAGGCCAAAAAAGAACAGGAGTGAGATCCTGTATCAAAAAAATAAAATAAAACCACAAGGACTGGACTCCTGGCACATAGGCTAAGATGACGGGAGAAGGAGCAAGTCCAGATCATTCTAAAAGTCAGCTGAAGTGCAAGGTGGGAACAAGAAGCAAAAGTGCATCATCACCACACAGAATCCATGGCCACATTAAACACCTGCACATTTACGTTTTTAAATTCCACTGATTTGCCAGGCACTGGTGGCTCATGCCTGTAATCCTAGCTACTCAGGAGGATTATGGTTCGAAGCTGTCCCAGGCAATAGTTCGTGAGACCCTATAATCGAAAACACCTATCACAAAAAACAGCTGGTGGAGTACTCAAGATTTAGGCCCTAAGTTCAAACCCTAGTACCACCAAAAAAAAAAAAAAAAAAGAAAGAAAGAAAAAAAAGATTACACTAATTCCCCTGATGGAAACAAAATGTGTGATGGGCTGTGTGATAGCAGGTGATGAACACCTCTGGGCAGGGCACTCTTGTACTACCTGCTCTGTGTGCATGACACTGTGGAGTGGGTGCAGAGGTGAGGTGACTGAGCTGGTAACAAGCATTACAGGATTTCAACCCCATGGTCCTTGGCTCTAGAACCCACTGAGGGCAGCATCAAAAAGGAGCAGTCAGGTTTTGCCCTGTTCCCTATCTCCTCGGTAGCTGTGCAACTAGAGTTAAGACTTTTGAGACCCGGCTTAATCTAATCACAGAATGACAAGCTGATAAGAAGCTGTGGAACTCCAAAGGTTGTTCAGCTGGCCAAAGCAGGCCTGGAGAATCTGTGTGGAAATCCGGGCTTCCTCACAGGGGAAAATCTGGCTCAAGTATGTGTGCGCATCTAGCTACAATAAAGCAATCACCCTGAATAATAATCCCTGAAATAATGCTGGGGCTGGAGGTGTGGTTCACAAAGTAGAGCACCTACCAAGCAAGCATGAAGCCCTAAGATCAAATCCCAGTATCACCAAAATAAAACAAGTTTAAATAAGGTAATAATTCTCAACTCTAGGCTTGCAAAGGCAGCAGGCGAGGTGTACTGACAGATTTCTACACCCTCTGGACTAGGGATGTAGCCCAGAGGGAGGGCTCGTGCACAGGAGGCCCTGGTTTCCATCCCCACCACAACGAAAAGATAAAATTATATATATACACAAAAACAAAGGAAAGAAAAAGATTCAATACTTTTGCAGTGGTGGATTTTGAACTCAGTACCTTGCACTTGCTAGGCAAGAGTTCTACCATTTAAGCCATACCTCCAACCATTTTGCTTTATATTTTTCAGATACTGTCTCCTTTTTGCCTCAACTGGCCTTGGACTGCAGTCCTCCTACCTCTGCCTCCCAAATAGCTGGGATTACAGACACACACTACCATACGTGGCCTTCAACACTCTTATTGCAAGGAAGTCAGACTGTATTTCTGAGGGCAGACTTAAGAATTAGTGGACAGGGCTAGGATGTAGTTCAGTGCCTAGCATGTGAGAGGCCCTGGGTTCAATCCCTAGCACCATAAAAAAAAAAAAAAAAGAGTGGACAGACAGGGCTGGTGTGGCTCAGCAGTATAGAGCACATTCAGCATGTACAAGGCAGCGAAGAAAGACCAGCAGCAAACAGCAGATCTGGGCGAGGGCTAAGTGGCACTAACTAGTCTCAGAGTGCTCTGTATGCACTCCCAGGCCCACAAGCACAAAGGAGGCCCGTTCGCCATGTGAGCGAGTGCAGGATGAGACAGGCAAGTGGATGGGGACTCTGAGCTTCACACCAGATGCTCCAGGCAGCCTGTGGAGCAGGGGACCCACAGGCTCCCACTTGGGTTTGAAGAAGATCCTGAGTGGCAGCAAGAAGACAACAGGTAGCTGGGTGCCAGTGGCTCATACCTATAATCCTGGCAACACAGGAGGAAGAGATCAAGGATCGAAGTTTGAAGCCAGACCCGGCACATAGTTCCGAGAGACCCTATCTCGAAAAAACCCAACACAAAAATAGGGCTGGTGGAGTGGCTCAAGGTGAAGACCCTGAGTTCCAGCCCCGGTACCTCAAAAAAAAATAAAATAAATAAAATAAAAAGCAAGAACAAAAAACTCCAAAGCCTACAATATAGGGAAACAGAACCTAAGGTGATTGGTAGAATTCCAGGAGAGTTCCTGACTCAGTGGCCTATTCATAATGTCTACTTCAAAGGACGGTTTTGGCCAGAAACGGACCTCACCAGGAATCCCCATTTTCTAGAAGGAACTCCTAAAGCATGTACTCTCAAGAACGCTTGAGGATTAAATGTGTTGTTACGAAGTGTTTCCTGCAATTAAGGACTGTTGAACAGAACTGAAAAAAAAAAAAAAAAAAATCCAATTAAGTCAACCACTGTAGACTGGAGGTGTAATTCCATGGCACATGCTAGAGTCTGTGGGTTAGATCACTAGCACCGTTAATAAAAAAAAGTCCTGTGGATGGCTCAAGGATAGAATCCTAGCTACTGGAAAGGTGGAGATTGGGAGAACTGAGGTTCCAGGGCAGCCCAGGTAAAAAGTTAACGAGACTCCATCTCAGTCAATAAGTCAGGCATGGTGGCAGATACCTGTTATTCCAACAATGCAGGAGGCATATAAATAGGAGAATCAAGATCCAGGTCAGCCTGGGCAAAAGCATGAAAGGCTTAAGTAAGAGCTGGAGGAGAGGTTCATGTGGTAGAGCACCTAACAAACATGAGGCCCTGAGTTCAAATGCCAGTACTGTCCAAAAGAAAAAAAGCAAAAAGGGCTGGAGGTGTGGTTTAAGTGGTCAGCACCTGACTACTTAGCATGAGGCCAAGAGTTCAAACCCCATACTGACAAAAAAATAAATAAAAAGGTGTCTGACAAACTGGAGATATAACTCAGTGCTATGGCATTTACCTAGTCAGGCAAAGGACCCTGGGTTTGACACCCACCACCCAAAAAAGAAAAATGAAAAAGTAGCTTGACCCTGACATTGCACACCTGTAATTGCAGCTACTCCAGGGGCAGGAGGGTCATGAGTCTGAGGCCAGCCTGGGCAACTTAGCAAGATCCTGTCTCAAGTTAAAAATAAGGGATGAGGGTATAGCTCAATGGTAGACGGCTTGCCTAGCATATGCAAGCCCCTAGAGGTTCAATCCTTAATACCAAAAAAGAGCTCGGAGCTGGTGACTCACGCCTGTAATCCTAACTATTCAGGAGGCAGAGATCAGGGAGATCAAGGTTTGACGTCAGTCCAGGCAAATAGTTCTTGAAACCTTATCTCAAAAATACCTAACACAAAAAAGGGCTGGGGCAGTTTGAATCAAACACCCTCCCTGTCCCCACTTCATCCCCCAAAATCCAAATCAGAAGTGGCCAGACAAATGGCGGAAGCATTAAATACGGTGGCAAAGAGTCCAGGCATGGCGAGGGCTCACTCAGACAAGAATGGATAGCCGGCAGGAAGGAGAGGCAGGAGGACCAGCCTTCCTGCCACCGGTTGTGCAAAGCAGGATCCATAAGGACAGTGTTGCGAGAATGGGGGGCCCAATAGCCGGCACCCCTCACTCTTATGCACACATTGCACAGTGCACACCTTGTGTGATGACCAAGAATGGCGGGCGCAGACATGCCATAAGGACCATTAGGCCTGGAGCCGGGCTGCACCCTATGCGAGGACCAGGTGATGAAGGACACGGCTCATCTTAGGCCAGGCTGCCCATCAGAGCCCCGCCGTCCCAGGCCATGGCCAGGTCAGCGATGGGCATCACTGGAGGCCACCACGGGGATGCACAGCCCCAGGGATACCAAGGAAACCCCCTCAGCGCCCGCAGGGACCCAGCTGAGCACCGGAAGTGGAGGCCAGAGTGCAGGGGCTACGGGGTGTCCGGAGGCCGCGGGCTGCTCACTTCCTGCACGGCATGCACCTGGCCCGGTGGCTGCTCGGAAAACAGGGACCCTAGAGACCAACTCAAAGGTTGTTCTGTTGGTTTTTTTGGGGGGGGAATCAGAATGCCCCCCACAAGTTTCTAGTCACCAGGGAGCTGCAAAGGGCCACTACCCATTTTGGCGCCAAACGGCCAGGGGAGCGCGCGCGACCGGAAGTGCCACCCTGCCCGCGCCAACCGCTGCTGCGCGCCTCACTGCACCACCCCGCGCATGCGCGCCCGGCTGTCAGCAGCAGCCACCAGCTACCCGGAGGGGAAGCGACCCCCCACCCCAGCATCGTCCTCTTCCCGTTCCTGAGTCCGCAGTCCCCCTCCCCTCTCATGACACCTACCGCCTGCGGACATCGTCGGGCAGGGAGATGGCCGGGGTGGCCAGCGTGGGCACTCGGGCTGGGGCGGTGCGGGCCGGCATTTCGGAGGCTACAGCAGACGCGACAGCAGCGCAGGAGGCCCCGGCTTTTCGCGCGGAAACCAACTGGGAGGGGCAGCGAGCGGAGGCAGCGCGTACCACCCTGGCCCGGGCGCGGGGGAAGGCCGGACGTACCATGCAGAGAGAGAAGCGTACCACGTGTGGGCAGAGCGTGGAAAGGGCCGTGCGCATGAGCTGCGCATGCGCAAGGAGAGCGAGCGCACCCCCGGGCGCAGAGCAGTGGGCTCGTCCGAGCCCTGCCAACGCTGTTTGCTAGGAAGGGGACGCGTTCCTGATGTTCATTCATTCTCTGGGCATTCTGGAGATAAAGCAGCGAGCCGCTCCAGGGGGTTAGGAAAGCTCTTCAATTAAAGCCCTCAGTTCCCTATGCAGTCTACTTGCTCACTAGACGACCTTGAGCAGGTCATTTGGTACCAGCCTCAATGTCCTCATCTGTAAATCAGAATCTATAGTGCCTACTCCAGAAAAAATGGTGCACTGGGTTTGTAGCTAGGACCTAGGATCTTGCGCTGCAGGAAGGCTGGGAACCTGTTCCAAAGTCTGAGTGTTTAATAAAGCACCAGAAACCGGGCACTGGTGCCTTACATCTATAATCCTAGCTACTCGAGACTGACTGAGAGATCAGAAGGTTTGTGGTTCGAGGCTAGCCCAGGCAAATAGTTCTTCAGACCCCATCTCCAAAATAACCAGAGCAAAATGGACTGGAGGTCCAAGCGGTACCTTGTGGCTCGAGCGGTAAAGCTCCTGCCTTTGCAAGTGCAAACCCCTAGGTTCAAACCCCAGTCCTACCAAACCAACAAAAGCTTTAAATTTGTAATATGATTCCCCTACCTTGCCCAAATGTAAGACCTGAAAGCAAGACCTGAAATATAGAAAAAAGCTGGAACTGTAGAAGAAAATATGAAGGAAAGCTTAGTGATACTTGATTTGACAGTGATTTCTTAAGTATGCACAATTGATTTGACAGTGATTTCTTAAGTATGGCACAAACAGCAAATGCTAAACTAGACAAATGGGTCTGCATCAAACTTAAAAACATCTCCACTGGAAGGCATGATGATTCCCGCCTGTAATCTGAGCACTCAGGAGGTGAAGACAGGAGGATCTCAGTTGGGTTATATAAGGAGACCTTATCTCAAAAATAAAAGAAGTCATCACATCAAAGGAAACACGAGTGAAAAGGTCACTTACAGGAATAATGGGAGAAAATATTCGCCAATCATCTGATAAGGGGCCATTATTCAGAATGTATAAAAAAATCTCTACAGCTCAACAAAAATAACCTGATTTTAAAATGGGCAAAAGATTTGAATAGACACTACCCAAAGATATACAAATGATCAACAAGCATAGGAAAGGATACGCAACACCACTAATCATCAAGAAAGTGCAAATCAAAACCACAATAAAATGTCACCTCACGCCTGCTGGAGTGGCCACTGTCAATGCTGAAGCCAGGCACCAGTGGCTTCTGTCTGTAATCCTAGTTACTTGGGTGGCTGAAATCAGAGGATCAAGATTCCAGGCCAGCCCAGATAAACAGTTCATGAGACTCCATCTCCAAAATAACCAGAGCAAAATGGACTGGAGGTGAGGTTCATGCAGTAGAGTGCCTGCTTCACAAGTGCAAAGCCCTGACTTCAAACCCCACTCCCACGAAAAATAAGAAAACGTTGGAAAGGATAGAGAGAAAAATGGAACCCTTCTGCACTGTTGGTGGAGTTGTGAATGGTATAGGTGCTAAAGAAAACAGTATAAAAGTTTCTCAATAAATACAATCATATGACCCTGTATCCTCACCTCTGGGAAGCTATTGAAAAGAATTAGAAACGGGGGTGGACCTGGGATATGGCTCAGTGGGAGAGTGCTTGCTAAACATTCATGAGGCCCTCAGATACATCCCAGCTCCATGACAAAAAGATAGGATGGAAAACAGAATCTTGAAGATTTTCACATAGGATTTTTTTTTGTAGGACTGAGGTTTGAACTCAGGGCTTCACACTTGCAAAGCAGTCACTCTACTGCATAAACCACACCTCCTGCACACTCATCTTTAAAGCAGCATGATTCACAATAGCCAAGGAGTGGAAGCAAGCCACACATGCATATGTAAAGGAAGTGCGGCATGGGTACCGTGGAACACTATTCAGCCTTTAAAAAGGAAATCCTGAGGCAGGTATGGTGGTCCATGCCTATAGTGCCAGCACTAGAGAGGCCGAGACAGGAGGACCATGAGTCCAAACCTAGCATACACTACACAAGACCTTACAAGGAGATGGAAGTAAGTAAAGGGGGGGGGGGAAGAGAGGGATGGGGAGGGACGAGGCGGGGAGACAGGCAGGAAGTCAGAAAGGCTTGTTGGTGCACACTTGTAATCTCAGCACTTAGGAGGCTCAGGCAGGAGGATCTCAAGTTCAAGGCCAGCATGGGCTATATAGCAAGACAGGTCTAAAAGAAATCTGCCATTTGGTACAACATGGCTAACCTGAGTTTAGCTAAGTGAAATTAAATGAGTTTATGCTAAGTGAAATGAAAGTCACAAAAAGACAATGACTACACAATTCCTGCAGACATGGGGATCTAAAGTGGTCAAAATCTTAAAAAAGAAAGCACAGTGGTAATCCCAAGGATGAGAGGGAAGGGAAAGAGGAATTGTTCAATGGGTAAAAGTTTCAGTTTTACAAGAAGTTCCAGAAATCCGTTGCACAATAATTTGCCTATAGTTAACACTGAGCTGCACACTTCAAAAGTGGTTAAGATGACAGCCAGGGTGCCGTGGCTTGGCCTGTAATCCCCACTAAGAGGAAGCTATGACAGGAGGATGGGTCACGTTCCACTTGGGCAACACAGTGAGACCCCCCACAACAAAAGTTATGATAAAATTTACATGCTTCTTTTACAATCAGAGGCCATCCTGGGCTACATGGTGACACTGTCTCAAAAAAAAAAAAAAAAAAAAAAGATTTGCCCTAGGGCCTTCCATAAATTGTAAGCAGCCATGTGAGTTCTTACTGCAAAACACATACAGCCAAGGCTTTCTCCTTATCTGCTGTGCTGCAGCCCCAGCGCAGATGGTCACAATCACTCATCACTTGCAGGAACTCAAACCCAGCAGAAGGAGGGAAGCAGGGATCCTCCTCTTCTCCCAAGTCTTTCAAAGCACTTTCTTCCTCTCTTCAGCATCCTGCACAGTTTGCACCTCCTTCTCCCCCTCACTAAGCACCAGCCTTGGTGACCACTTTTATCCTTTCAAGCTTATGAGCCCAGAGCCTTTGCTTCTGCTGTCACTCCTGGAAGAGTCACACCTCCCAGGGTTTGCCTGTACATAGAGCCTTCCTCAGACCACTGGAAGCAACCCATCACCCTCCATCATTCTATACCCTGGGCTTTTTTGTCTGTTTCTTAGGTTTTTTGGTGCTTTTGGGGTTTGAACTATGCCTTGAGCCACTCCACCAGCTGTTTTTTTGTGATGGGTGGGTGTTTTTGTTATTTTTTCCTTCCCTCCTTTTCTCAAGATAGGGTCTTGCAAACTATTTGCCCATCCTGGCTTCCAACCTTGATCCTCCTGATCTCTGCCTCCGGAGTAGCTAGGATTACAGCGTGAGCCACTAGCACCTGACTATTACACTTGTTTCTTTGTAAGATTAACTATTGTCCCAGATTTTTTTTTTTTTTGTGGGATGGGGGTTTGAACTCAGGGCTGGGACTCTACTGCTTAAGCCACACCTCCAGTCCATTTTGCTCTGGCTATTATGGAGATGGGATCTTGAAACTATTTGCCTGGGCTAGCCTCAAACCTTGATCCTCTGGATCTCAGCCTCCCAAGCAGCTAGGATTACAGCATTAGCCACCAGTGCCCGACTCCAAGATTCTTTCATTTACTGCCTATCGCACTAGAGCAGAGGTTAGCAAACGTTTCTGTGAAGGACCAGATAAAATATTTTAGGTTTTGGGAGCCCTCCATTTTCTGCTGCACCTACTTAAGTCTGACAACAACAACCAAGTAATGTGAATGGATAAGTTATAACTGTGTTCCAATAAAACTTCATTAACAAAAACGGGCAGCAGGCAAAATATAATTACCAGATGAATTAATACAGGCATGGGAGGTGCCTTGGCAGAGTAAGACATCAACACTGGTAGGTAATGAAGTTGTTCTGTTTCACAACAGTGTCATTCCACTTTACAAAGGGAAACTAAGGCTGAGGGGAAGCAGGCTGCAAAAGTAGGTCTGTCTCCAGTCCCTATTTTTTTTGCGGGGGAAGAGGCATTTTGGGGTTTGAAATCAGGGCTCATACTTGCTAGGGAGGCCACTACATTTGAGCTTCTTGAGACAGGGAGCCAAGTGCTCCCCAAATATATATACTATATATATATATAGTGCTCCTATATCCTAGCTACTTGGGGATGGTGGTTTGAGGCCAGCCCCAGCAAGTAGTGAGATCCACGTCTCCTTAACACCCAGTGCCCACCCGTTTCCCTGACAGAAGTCCAGGCAGCCCGTATTAAGCACGGGGCCAGAAGGCTGGTCATGTGTCCTGAGCCCCAGCCAGTCACAAGGTTGAAACCGAGACACCCAGATAGCTAAGACTTGTCACAGCCATGGAACTGGGGCCCAACACCAGGCCCCACAGAGGCCTTGGGGCTACAGACACAGTCTTCAGTTCTAAAGAACACTTCAACCCTCTCACCCAAGGCCTCAAACACTTCTCCAGATTGAGTGATTTCCCAAGCCAGGAATCCAACCCAGGGAGTCCTGCAGGTGTGCTGGGCACAGCCGGTTCCTCTTTGTGGGGCCCTTGAGCCAGCCCAGGGCCTCTGGATCACAGAAGTCTGGCTGCAAAACCCTGTGGCTTTTACGTGAAAGAGCCCTGGAGTAGATGAGGCCATTTGCCCCTCCAGGGCCACCTCCTGGGCAAGGCTCCCTGCCTTTCCCTTGGCTGTCAGCCCCAGTCTCCTTCCGGGGATGCTCTCAGCCTCCTCCCCACCTAATAGTGGGGAGGACTGTCCTGTCAGAGCCTAAGTCTGATGAAGAGCCCTCCTCCTACCTCCC